TCTGGGTTGTCGCCGACTGTCCTTACGAGAAATGCTATAGATGCGAGGAAGCTATGGAGTTGTCGACTGCTGCAGCAGTCATCAGTGACATTTCTAACGCTTAGAGAGTCACGAGAGGACTTGCAGCGCTGCGGGGCAATTTGTAACAACCCTGTCCAGGCCATGTCTGCTACACCTGCAGTCCAGGATGTTCGCTGGTCTCAAAATGAGGCCTTCTGATACTCCCAAATTGCATCATCGCTTTAATGTCAAGTTCCCAGGCAAGGCTCGGACTGCATGCCGAGAGCTCATGTCATCCTGCACCCCGGGATACTCTTCGGGGGCCTAGCTTGGAAACTTCAACCGCCCAAGATGGCATACGCCGACCTCCTTCGGAGCCTGTCGAATGATTTTGCAGGAAAATGTCAATACTCTCTACGTCTATTCTAAACATGATGTTATTTACAACGGCTTCTGGCGAACCTGGCTGAGGACTGAAGAGTCGCCAGGTTGAAGTGGCGTCGCAATATTGCTAGTGCAACTAACTTTGATTGGTACAGGTCGAAACAGATTTCGTTGCAACATTGGCACAATCGCCATTTCTCATGGACGTCTTGATCGATAGTTTACTACATCAGCTTCTGACGTTTCCACCTGTATGTGCTTGATCTTTGGTGGATTCGCCGGCGATGCATTTTCTCCATACCGCTTTCTCTAAAGCTCTGTGTGCATAGCTGTAGTTTCCGGAAGTACAGCCACGTGCTTGAGATCTACCATGCTCTGTACTGACCGGCTGCGACGACACTGGAGTAATGGCCGCATTCTGTGAAGAACAACACCTCGCCGCTGGATCGGAGGACTTATCCACTGTGGGGACCTTTTGAGTCCATATCCCCCAGGTTTAGTCAAAGAAAGTTTCGTCTGAGATTTCCTTCTGGAGCTGGCTACACTCAGTGATGGGTCGTCTTCCGATGATTTCGCATTCCACAGTGCCTTTGGGCCAATGTGTCGGAAACGAGGCTAGTTGCCAAATGCCAAAATCTTCACGTCCGCTCTGTCATCCTGGAGATGGAGGATTGGATTCCTGTTGGAATTTTGTTGATGGGAAACAACATGAAGAAATCAGGACGTCTAGTGGTTGACCTGTAGGATCGATCGCATGCCGCGAACGCTTTCTCTGACCTCAATGCACCCAGAATAAACAAAGTCACTTGATGTTGACAATATGGACAACCGACATCAAGCATAGAGATGATATGTCACTTCCTGCTACCTAGAAAACCCACTAAATCTCCAATGACATCAATTGAGTCGAACATGCCGTACGCACTCCACCGTCTAGGAAACTGCAGCGCGGACCGCGGTATACTCCACGGCTTCCAGAAATCCCGCAGGTAAATGACGAAATCAAGGGGAATCAAGGGGTCCTCGGTAAGCCCGTTGCTCCTCTGAACTATCCCAGTTGGTCAACCTGAAGAAGGACGTCGCTCCAGGCCCCAGCTCCCAAAGAGGTAGACCCCGGTATTCATGATGGCACTAGAAACAAGATGAAACGAATAAAGGGCGCATCCAGGGAAGTGAATTTAGGTCATCGAGCATCCCGTGCAGCAGCATAGAAACCAGCGCGATCAGTGCGATGGCGGATGCAAGTAGGACTTATCATATTCAGTCAACGATCAAGGGAAGATGGCGAGTCATGGCTACAGATTAACTTCGGGGTGTTCGGATGAGGGAGCCGAGATCTAATTCCAGCACTCTGATACAGAGCACCTTCCAAGGAATTCGGCAAGACATGACAAAATTGAGCTCTGACGACGAGGATGGTGCAAGGGGTCTTGGCTCGAGAGGCTAGTTGAACGATGCCTATTCTAGGTTGCTTAGTCACGGAGCTTTTTTGGGTGTTGGGCTCCAGAGAGGGATGCCCATCCCTCAACTCTCAATAAGTTCAATCAAGGGTCGACGATATTGGCAGTTTGGGTTCAGATCTTGGCCCTGATTGTCAGTGGCCTGAGATTCACAGCGTGCCTGCCGAAGACTTGACATGGAATTGCAGTTAAATATATCACCTAGATATATATATTTGTCGCAATAACGAACCAAGCGGTAGCTCGGGATATATATGAATATACATATGGTTGAATTTGTGATATGGTTACAGAGATGTGATGAAGCACAATCATCGTTATTTGCATCAGCATGATAGCGATAACCATAGATATGATCATGGACACTGATAAAAGCCTTGAGAGCCTGAGCCGGACAGCGCTGATCGTCTTGGGGCATTGACCCCCTCATCGGCCAAGGAGACAGAGTTGAATGGATCAGGATGCAGCATGCGTTGGCGATCATCTGTGGGGGATAAGTCGATAACCCTGTGTGTAGGAAAGGAAAGCAAGGGAAGATGAAGCAGGACTCTGACCCAGTGCCAGGTTACTCCAAGTTTAGAATCAATATTGGGTGTATTCAGTGCGAACCATTGGCAATCGTGGTTGATCGTATGAGGGAGCAGGCTGTGGCAATGATCGACTGTAGGCTCTACAATGATAATGATGTTCCCTCTCAGATGGCGTTGGACGTGTCAGGATCAGTGCTCCATATCAACGGACCTTGGATAACGATAGAGGGCAAAACACGTGGATAGAGGGGTACCACTAATACCATGGTCTCCAATAGGTACTCGGTGCTAAGTGATGGTCAGATCTGGTGAGAACTTGCGGCGACTTTCGATGGCTTTGCTGACTATTATATATTTTTTCTAGCATAATCAGTTGGCGATGTTGGACTTCGTTATTCCTGGGTCACGTATGGAGTAAGGTTCTCATGAGGGAGAGGGAAACCCTTGGAATCACAACAAGGTCTTACTATGGACGACATTGCAAAGTGACTTATGTACACCCACTACATCAAGACGCTTTCATATTATTGAAACCTAGTAAGATCGCGCCACTGACTCTGCCTAAGATTACCCATTGCGGTAATCTGAACACAGTGGCAAAGGATTCTGGTAAACAAATAGATAGGCAGACCGTGTGACGATCGCCTGGATTCGATGGAGGTTAGATAATCTCCAGCACATGCAAGGGAGAAAAGCAAAGAAGTGGCTACTGTCTACTGGAATAATCATGCCTAAGATGATCATCATCCCTGTAATCCAAAACCCGTGTAGACACCACCCCCCGCGTGTCCGTCTTATCAACATTATCGATAGGAAGGAGCAGGGACCATAGTTGAGGTCATTATTGTTATCATTCTCCGGTATCAGCCCTGATACCGTGTAGATCAAGGGGACTTTGTCGAAACTCTTGTGACAATAGTCAAACTAAAAGTCCATCGTTTGCGGGATTTAGCCTGTTTACACCATAGAAATTTCCATTTGAGAATAAGAATCGAATCGAAAGTATCTAGGAAAAAAACTAGTGGTCGTTGTTGACCAAGGTATTCAGGCAAGTAGGTTGTTGTTGTCAGTGGTGGTGGTTGTCGTGTTGTTTGTTGTTGTTACGGTATTGTATCGTATGATCCACGGAACCCATGGGGTGGGGAGGGGGATACGCGTGACGCTCCCGGCGCTAAACCCCAAACGGGCAGACAGTCAACAACAAAGGACGCGCTGCGCGTGCGAAACCAAAAACATCGAGTCCCGCCTGAGGATTGGCTGGAGATGGGGGGGCGAATCCCCCAGTACTCTGTAGATACTCCATCCTCTCACAAGCCCTCCTACGGACTGACGGAGTCTGACGATTGACGGTGCCTGGCATAGGCTCACGTAACTGAAACTTTTTTTCGCCTTTCCTTAAACTCTCTATCCTCAATATAACAACAACCTACCGAGCTCTGATCGTCCAGAACAAAAGATCTCAACTACTGTCGTTAGGCTCATCCAAAAGGAAAGAGGAACCCACAGCCTTTTTAACCCACCATATCAGATCCTCCCCGTTCTTCCCCCTCCTTCGGATGATTTATTGGGCTTTGACTCTGCATACCGCAACTTCCGTCTATCGTCCAGTGTCCACTCCTCCGTTTATCGACTCCATCAGCTCATCCCTTCCTTCGCGACCCCCTCTCTTCCAACCAGTCGACCTTTGACTTCGCGTGGCTGTCTGGAAGCTCTAGAGTCTGTCGTCGTTTACTTGTTCGGGACGGTCCCCATATTCTCTCGACCCCTTGTGCGCCCTGCTCGTCTGCTTTAAAGAGGGAGCCATTCAACGTTTAAAGGAGGAAAGGGAGACTCAAGGGACAAACCATATTGCTGCTATCAACTCCCCTTCAATCAGCCAAATCCGCCCTTTCGTCGTCTTGAACTCTTCGCATATTCTCTCGCCCTTGGCTATTCGCCAACGCCGTGCATTACTCGCGTCAGAAACTCATTCGCGCCTGTGCCTCTCGCCAGTCGCTCTTGCGCCTGTTCGCGTCGCGCTTGCTTCTCTGACGTCCTGTTGTTATTCCAAAACATTCCTTGTTCCATTGGTTGCACTCCGAAAAGCTCCAGGAAAATAGAACCGCCATACCACCGAGTGTTTCAGGCGTGTGGTCCCAGTGCTACAGCGGGCACAAAGGAGGCTCAACACGCTTTCCGTGCGTTTTTGGTTCCCCTACTGGCACACTTCCCTTGGACTTGAATGGGAGATTACCAAGGACTTTCCGAACTTGGTGCTCGCCATGAGTTGGTGAAGTGCCACCCGTCATTTGTTTCGCATTGTTGATACTGTTTGTCCCGCTTTGAAACAATAGCTGTTGTTTGCTTCGCCCCCAAGTCTCACAGCATTCCGCTGCTGTCGACTCGTCCCGCCTTCTTCAAGTCAGACGCGAGGACAACAGCACCGCCACCGGCGCTCTCTCCTCCTCATTGCTTTGTTGTTTTGAACGCCAGTCGCGGTCTGGTTTCAGCCTTTGTGGTGATTGCTCCTTTCATTGCGGCATCATCACCATCACAAGTATTCCAAAGCGTCTCTCGCCTTTCCTCATTTACAGCAACCTACGCTATCAATTAAGCACGACCACACTTGTTGCCGATAATTTCCAATATGGTAGCAACATTCTCACCGCATCGCGATGCGGGCGGCACACTGCACTTGCCCTCACACTCAGGCATCCATCACGTTGATGCAAGCTCCGCAATCAGACAGTTGCGCCGGTCACTATCGCGATCCCCTTCGAAGAGCTCCAATTTCACAATTCTCGCGTCTCGGAGCCACTCGCCATCGAAAAGCACGCCATTTATCTCGTCCCCTCTCTCACCATCGCGACGATCTACACAGAACAACTTTGTACTCTTCCCCAGTACATCTCATCCATCTCCGTTCGCTCTTCCGTACCCGCCCAGCGCCAAAATCACAAGACCTGTCATGCGGCGGGCGCGAACATCACCGCGCAGTCCCGTCAAGCGCGCCCTCAACATCTCAACAGACCAAGGGAATGCCAAGCCTGCGCAGCCGGCTCCGATCATGGCATTATCTCCAGTCGGCGCGGAGAACACACCCGCGACTCCAGCACTTGACTTACAGTCTAATGACAATGTCTCTGACGGCACGGGCTTGAACGAGGCTTCGACTTGCGCAGAAAACACGCCTGCACCGCGGCCAACACTGTCGAGGATCGAGAAACGACGCAGTGGAACTTTTGGTTCATTTGCTACCGTAAGCCCGTTAAAACGTAGTGACGGGATTATGAACCTCGACCGAGCATCACGAGGCAGTCCCTCGGCCAAGAGGCGAAGTGTTCATGCCGCCAACTACCCCGGCGAATTCAGTATCTTCGACAACGAGGGCCCCTCCCCCAGCACTGTTGAAGATTTTGCTGCAGAAACTCCAGCTGTCACTGATACGCCATCTTTCCCTTCACCTGTTCCGCCTTTCGGGAGCCCGTTCAACACGATTCCCAAACGTTCATCATCTCTCCGTCGATCGACACTACAACAACGCCAAACCGACCGCTCTCTTTTCTCCCGACCCAGAAATATAGGCGACACAGCTGAGACGACGGATCCAGGTTCTCCCATGACCGTGCGGCCGCGCATGTCTCTGGATGGTAACCTCTTCCAGCCGAGCCGCGAGGGTCTCTTCTCTCCGCGACCTGCACCAGTCAGCCCTCTCTTCTCATCACATGGCGCCGCGGGTGCAGGACAGGTGCGTCCTGCAGCGCATCCTCTTTCCAGAACTATTACACAGTCCTCGTCCAATTCAAGCTTGGCAGACGACTCGCCTACCCATGAGCCCATGCATAAGTCCGAGCGGCCGCGCGGCGTCTTCGATTTCTCCAAATCCCTTCCTGCGGGTGCGACACGCCCTGGTGCCGTACGACACCTAAATCGTGAGGACTCGACATCGTCCGTCGACTCGTTTGCGACACCGGAGAATTACAAGCTGGTCAAGCCTCTGCCGGCCGCATTCATGTCAACGGGTCTAATCTCGAAGAAGAATCGTAATGCAGAAGATCACCAGAACATACTCGGTTTCAACAAGAACATGCCTGATACCCCCTGCAAGCGACCCATCAATCTGTTCCCCACGGGGCAGAAGCCGATGCCCGAGTGGGAACGCCCTCGATTGATGCCACAAGCAGATGTCGTCCCATCCCCCTCCCCGTCCCATCCCCCCAGCGCCGCGTCCGGATCTTTCGCAAGGGGCATGGGTATCTTTGGGAACTCATTTAAGAAGCCAGACCTCTCGCGCCGAGGCAGCTTCGTGAGTGTGGACGGTGATGAGCTGACACAGTCTCAGTCACCTTGCGCTCAGCCTGACAGTCAGCCATTGAGTGAATATGATCTTCCACCGACTCCAACGAAGCAAACTTTCTTCCCCTCTAGAACCTATCCGCCGGCCACGCAGCAGATTGCATCCTTGGAACGACTATCCGAAGCACTCGGAAACAACTCGAGTCCTTTACATGACAGGTTCCAGCGGGGTTCCCCTCGCACCCCTCAGGATCACCTGTTTCCCCCAGATCCCAGCGGTCTGTCCATTTCCGCACACAACGACCAGCACCCGCTCCAGCCGGACTTCAACTCTTCTAACTTGCCAGCAACTCCCACTGGCCCACGTGATTCTTTCATGCAATCGGGAAAGCGACCTAGCCTCTCATTGAGCGGGTATCACGCCCCGGATGTGGACCCAAGCTTGACTTCCCGCTTTGAACAGGTGGAGCTTGTGGGAACCGGCGAATTTTCCCAGGTCTATCGCGTGGCCCAGGCTCATGAAATGTCACTATCATCCATATTCTCTCTCCCAAATGGGGCCAAGTCTCCTGGGGCGCTGCCTGCACGGGTGTGGGCAGTCAAGAAATCGAAACAGCCGTATGCCGGCCTGAAAGACCGTGAACGCCGCATCCGTGAGGTGGATGTACTGAAAGCCCTCACCAACTCGGACCATGTGATTTCGTTCGTCGACAGTTGGGAAGATAGCGGTCATCTGTACATTCAGACGGAATTTTGCGAGGAAGGTAGCCTGGATGTGTTCCTTGCCCAGGTTGGCCTCAAGGCGAGATTGGATGATTTCCGGATTTGGAAGATATTGTTAGAATTGTCCTTGGTAGGTCAAGCCTGTCTTGTTTCCTGTTGAAAATTAGAATGGTCGGCAAGGGCTAACCTCCAGCAGGGTCTGAAGCACATCCATGATTCCGGCTTCATCCATCTTGATCTCAAGCCGGCAAACATCCTTATTACCTTTGAGGGTGTCCTGAAGATTGCCGACTTTGGCATGGCAACGAGATGGCCTGCGGAAGATGGCATAGAGGGTGAAGGAGATCGCGAGTACATCGGTCCTGAGATTTTGATGGGCCGCTTCGATAAACCTGCGGATATATTCTCGCTGGGCCTGATAATGTTCGAGATTGCGGGCAATGTGGAACTTCCTGATAATGGTCTCTCATGGCAGAAGCTTCGGAACGGTGATATGAGTGATGTGCCTAGCTTGACCTGGAGCTCCGAGACCAGCATCTTCCGTGACGCTTCCGGAAATCCCATCTCGGAGGAGCCGTCATTCGAGGAACTCTGCGCATCGGACTTGGGCGATGACGATTTTGGGGAAGATAGTTTTCTGAACAGCCGCCCTCATCAGGCAGTGCCTCTGGCGCGCAGTGGGGAGCTGGTCAATCCTCCAAGCTTCATGATCGATGCAAGCCACGAACAAGCCTTGGACAAGATCGTCCGGTGGATGATTTCCCCCGATCCTTCTGACCGACCCACAGCGGATCAGGTTCTCGCAACCCATGGGGTCCAATTCGTAGAACGTCGACGTCGTGCTGGGGCCACAGTCTACGAAGGCAACTGGGGCCCTGCAGACGAGATCCTGGCTGAAGATGCCGAAATGATCGACGTGTGAGTGGGACCCTTGATATATCCGCGCCTCATTTGAACGGAGTCGGTGCCTTCTCAATTCTGCGCTACAATTCCTACCATATCGATGTTCGAACAGCATCAGGGATTCCTTGAGTATCTGAACGCCGGCTGCCTATATCCACGATCGAGCCCGCTTCTGTCTCTCTCTTTTGAATCAAGAAGGAATCCTCCCCTGTGCATATCGATCCATCACTCCTCAGATTATATGGTCGAAAACGGTTTCGAGATTCGACCTAGACTCTGTATGAGTCACCTTTCGCTCGTTTAAAGAATCTTTTCCTTTGTCAGAGTCTGATTTAGCGTCTGATACCGCCTGTTCTTTCTTCGAAATGTACCAATGTCCTGTATGATTGGATTCCCTGCTGTGTATGATGAACCTGTTCTTTTTTCCTTTTTTCTTGCAACATCTGAAGCCATTGATCTCATCTATTTTACCCCATCACTTTCGCATTGCCAGTGGGGTATTGAGCAAGGATATCATTCAAGGGAGCAGCGTGCAATCGGTACTGTGATTTGAGCTTTTTTTATCTCTTCTTTCTTTTCCTTTGTTGGAGTGAGTCGGAGTGCAATGGATCTTTGGGCGGTGATGATGATGAATGAACCTTTCTACAAATTTGTGACCCCATCTCCATTCGGCTGGATCTTCTCTTCACCCATTGTCATTATTTTTTCCTGTTTTTATTTTTCAACCGCAGTCCTTGGGAAGCAAGGACTGGCCAGCCGATATGGGATCAAGCGGGCTTGAGAACTGGGTAATACTTGTGATTTATACGTGTTGAGTCTGGACGCAACAATTGGTGGTAGATAGAATGAGAACATATTAAATATCTTTGTCTTATTTATGCATTCTTTGAGCTTGTAAGATAAAACCGTACTTTCGCTATACCAGGGGTAGATAGTGTAGACTACCGTTGGAACAAGTATCAGCATGTTCTCGCCACTGCCCGACTTCTTGGCACCGCAGCTTGACCTTCGGCGTGGATTTTCGACCTCCGCTTTGACAACTATCTATCCATCCCAAGACTGTTGGTTCCTCGGTCACGCTGTTTTGTTGCAGCCTCATTGCTTCCTTTTTTACCTCTAAATTCTACAGCGGACTACTTTGTTCGTTTCGACTCGGTTCCTGACCGGTCCAATCATGCGCGATAGTATCTACTAGAGCAAAGGGCTCAAAAAGGTTGCAACACATTGAACGCATTCACCCTAGCATCTACACCGATAATCGACATACCAATGGATCACAAAACCTTTGTCTCGGACTCCCTGATCCGCCTGACAGGCGCGTCGGATCCCACCGTCGTCGACTTCGTCCTCGCCACCGCCAGTACCGCCAAATCCGCGGCCTCGTTACAGGACAAACTCCTCCCCTTCCTCGACGGAAACGCTGACGAAGTAAGCTCATTCTGTGCGGAGCTCTACCGACGCGCAGGCAAGAAGGATGCGTCTGGATCCAGTAGCGCGGCGGGCCGGGACCGCAGCGATGCCGCGTCGAAGAAGAAATACCGATTAGTTGATATGGAGCATGATCTGGCGGACACGGCGAGCTCGCTGGCGCCGCAGAATGTCGAGGCGGAGCGCGACAAACAGAGACGTCGAGACAAGGACACGGATAAGAACAAGGACCGGAGTCGCGGTCGGTGGGAGAAGGAGGATAGTCGCCGGAAACGCGACCGCAGCCGTAGCCGTGATGAGGGCAGTCGCGAGCGGCTGCGCTCGAAGAAGCTGCGGAGACGGGCTGTGGATGATTTTGAGGATCGGTGGGGCGACGAGGAGATCCCGGATGACGACTATGAGAATAGGGGTGACGAGGGGCAGGACTTTGATGAATCGCCACCGAAGCGCACGCGGCTGGAGGATGGGTCGGCCTCGCCTCGGTCTACGGCATCCGATGAATTAGATCCAGAGACGAAGAAGGAGTTGGAGCGCAAGCGGGACCTGGAGGAACGGGACGAGTTGGCCAAGCGTCTGGCTAAGAAGGATGATGGCAAGAGCAAGAAGATCGTCGAGGATCGGACGAGAACGAGTGAGGCGGCGCGACGGCGGGCTCTGGCGGACGATGCGACGGCGAGGGCGGCCGTCATGCCTGATCTGCGGCTGCGGTCTCGGCAGGAGTATCTCAAGAAGCGAGAGGCCGAGCGGCTGGCGCTCCTGCGGCAGCAGGTCGCAGAGGAGACGGCCGAGCTGCGCGAGAATCCCAATCTGACCCGTCGGGAGAAGGAAGAATTTGCACGCAACCGGGAGGTGCTGCGGCTCGCGGAGGAGCGCTTACGGATCGACGACCACCGGGACGGGTATATGATGCCGGAGGACTACATCACGGAGAAAGGCAAGATTGATCGGAAGAAGAAAGAGGAGGCGCTGTACAAGCGATATGTGGACCGTGACGAGCGCGGTCAGGAGCGGTTCATCACCGAGCACGAGGAATGGGAGATGGAGCAGACGGCCAAGGCCAAGGCGCAGATTAAACGGGCAGAATTCGTGGACGAGGGCGACTACGAGTATGTCTTTGACGACTCGCAGAAGATCAATTTCGTCATGGACACCAAGCTCGAGGGGACGCGCAAACCATTAACGCAGGAGCAGCGGCTGCTTCAGGAGAAGCTAGACGCGGCGGAGAAGAAAGCGGCGTCGATTGAGGAGACACGGAAGAGCTTACCCATCTACCAGTTCCGGGATCAGATCATTCAGGCGGTGCATGATCACCAAGTCCTGATCATTGTGGGAGAGACCGGGTCCGGCAAGACCACGCAGATCCCGCAATACCTCCACGAGGCCGGTTTCACCAAAAACGGCATGAAGGTGGGATGTACGCAACCGCGACGGGTGGCCGCAATGAGTGTTGCGGCTCGTGTGGCCGAAGAAATGGGAGTGAAACTGGGCAACGAAGTGGGCTATGCTATCCGTTTCGAGGACAACACCAGCGACAAGACGGTGCTCAAGTACATGACCGACGGTATGCTGCTGCGTGAGCTGCTAACCGAGCCTGATCTGGGCCAATACTCGGCCCTGATGATCGACGAGGCACACGAGCGAACGGTCCCTACAGATATTGCCTGCGGCCTGCTCAAAGATATAGCCAAGGCGCGGCCGGATCTGAAGCTTCTGATCTCCTCTGCTACCATGGACGCACAGAAATTCCAGAAATACTTTGACGATGCACCCATCTTCAATATCCCTGGTCGTCGGTATCCCGTGGATATTCATTACACGTCGCAGCCCGAGGCGAATTACTTGGCAGCCGCAATCACGACTGTTTTCCAGATCCATGTCAGCCAAGGGCCAGGGGATATTCTGGTGTTCTTGACTGGTCAGGAGGAGATTGAAGCGGCCGAACAGAGTTTACAGGAGACGGCCCGCAAACTGGGGAGCAAGATCCCCGAGATGGTCATATGTCCCATCTACGCCAACCTACCGTCTGAGCTCCAGACCAAGATCTTCGAGCCCACCCCACCGAAAGCGCGGAAAGTCGTGCTGGCCACGAACATTGCCGAAACCAGTTTGACGATCGACGGCATTGTCTACGTCATTGATCCTGGATTCGCCAAGGAGAATGTCTTCAACCCGCGCACAGGGATGGAGAGTCTGGTGGTAACACCTTGCTCGCGAGCGTCGGCGAACCAGCGAGCCGGTCGAGCCGGTCGAGTTGGCCCGGGAAAGTGTTTCCGCCTGTACACGCGATGGGCTTACTACAACGAGTTGGAAGAGAGCACTACGCCAGAGATCCAACGGACGAACCTGAGCAGTGTCATTCTGATGCTCAAGTCGTTGGGAATCGACCAGCTGCTCGACTTTGACTTTATGGACCCGCCGCCGGCCGAGACGATCATCCGCGCGCTGGAGCAGCTGTATGCCCTAGGGGCACTGAACGATCGCGGGGAGCTGACCAAGATCGGACGGCAGATGGCCGAGTTCCCCACGGACCCGATGCTGGCCAAGGCGATCCTCGCGGCGGACAAGTACGGCTGCGTGGAGGAGGTTCTATCGATTGTGTCGATGCTAGGCGAGGCCAGCGCTCTTTTCTTCCGGCCCAAGGACAAGAAGATCCACGCAGACAGCGCGCGCAACCGGTTCACCGTCAAAGACGGCGGCGACCACCTGACGCTGCTCAACATCTGGAACCAGTGGGTGGATTCGGACTTCAGCTATATCTGGGCGCGCGAGAACTTCCTCCAGCAGCGTAGCTTGACGCGCGCTCGCGACGTGCGCGATCAGCTGGCGAAGCTGTGCGACCGCGTCGAGGTCACTATCAGCACATGCGGATCGAACAACTACGTCCCCATCCAGAAAGCGATCACAGCCGGCTTCTTCCCGAACGCGGCCCGACTGCAGCGCGGCGGCGACAGCTACCGGACGGTCAAGAACGGCCAGACGGTCTACCTTCACCCGTCCAGCACCCTGTTCGAGGTCAACCCCCGCTGGGTGATCTACTACGAACTCGTCCTGACGAGCAAGGAGTACATGCGCAGCAACATGCCTCTGCAGCCAGAGTGGCTGGTCGAGGTCGCGCCACATTACTACAAGAAGAAGGACCTGGAGACGCTGGGGCTGGACCGCAAAGTCCCCAAGGGACAGGGTGCAGCCGGCGAGAAGAGCAAAGATTAATCAGCTCAGCTTCAGCACCTATCTGTATCTGTATATAATTGTAGCATTTCTCGCAACAATACCAATACTTCTGAAAATTAGATAATACAGTATCTTATGATCCACACACCCTACAGAGCACTACTCTAGAAGTACCTTAGGTAAGGGCTGAGTGGAATATAGAGTAACCAATCACCGCCCGCGCATTAGAATTGCCCATGACCGCGGTTCGGACGCGAGACTTAGGATTTTACCTCGGCTGTCGTAGACTAGACCCCAGCTTCATTGAGAGCTACGGAGTACGGATAGACTACGGAGTATCCGTACTCCACTCATCATCTCCCCATTCTACCTTTACTCCAACTGTCCATCAGTCAACCGCGAGACCTCCACATCGACATC